AAAAAAAAAAAGGCTGTAATAAAACATAACCTAAAAACAGGTTTCTAAAGATTAATTCCAGATTCAATATGCTTTGTCTGTTAGCATATTGAATCCCAAAATGGCTTAAACTAAATTTTGTATCTTATTAAAACTAAATCTGGGTAAAGGACATTCAGGTGCTTTCTTTCTCAACTTTTCTGTGGGGTTTAAAAATTAGGAAATTAAAATGTTGAGGAGAATGGTAAAATCAACATAAAACCTAACTTATTACTATCATGATTAGTAAAATAATATTATTCCAAGTATACATTTACCATGAGCCTTTTACCCATAGACACACTACTAATAATACCACCCACATAAATCCAGGTAAAGAGCATACAGTAGTCATTGCATTACTCTAGCAGATTTACAGATATAATATTTTGCAAACTATAAATGGGGGAGGGGTAAGTTCCTTAAAAATAAAGGGGAAAGGCAAATGTTAAAAGAATTTTTAAACAAAAATAAGACATATTGAATATAGTACTTTAACAGCCACTACACACTATATTCGCTTTTCTCAGTGACTTTTTCATGGATGCATGCGTTAGTTCCAAAACGCAGACCAATTTTGAGAAAACTCCATAGTGTTTAGGTATCTAACTAAATTATTATGATCTTAATTCAAAATGGTTTCAAGTCCATTTATGTAAAAAAAGATAGGAGGTATCATTACTAAGCATACTAGCATTAACAAGTATGCTAGAAACACTAAAAAACATTTTCTAATACATTTAAATCAAGCTGAAACCAGAATGAATGCCTAATAGCCAAACCTTGAGCTATTAGAGGTCTGGTTTCCCAGTAAGCTTAAGGACCTGTCCTTCCTGTCCTTGAGCTTACTGAGAAACCAGACCTCTGACCTCTATTTACAGCTCTTCATTTCTCGCTAAGCCTGTTTGGACTTTGTAAAGTCGATTTGAACTTGGAGAAGGAGCTCACCTTTAGGTAGGTCCTCCCCAGTCTGACACAGTGAATAAGGTGGTACAATGGCTCGATCTCCCTTTTCATTATAAGGAAACCCAGGATAGAGTGGGTCTTGATAAAGGCTCAATGTCTGAGGCAAAGGCATCAAGGGCTGGTTAACCGCCTGTATTGACACAGGAACTGGAGAGGGTGTTAAATGAGCTTGGGATACAGCAGAATCAGGTCCAGTGGTCAAAGTCTGTGTCACTGACAAAACAGGAATTTGAGCAGGGACACCTACAAAAGAGAAGAAAAGGAATCAAAAATCACAAAAGGTGAAAATAATTCTCTACAAATATGCTTACATTATCCTATGAAGAATGCTGTGTAACTGATACACCCAATCTAAGGTGATACCTTTAGTATCAACCAAGGGCCCTCCTGGACACAAAGGAAGAAATATGCCCGGGACACAAGCTTTGAGTCAACGTCTTCTAATAGTAACATGTAGGAGATGGGGCAGGCAGGTCAAGGGGTTCATTATGAGGCCATAAAGAACTGGCCCATGGAGAAAGCATTAAACTATGGTGCCAGTTAGTGCTGAGCAACCAAAGCAACCAGCTCAAACATCATGCTCCTGAGATTATGAAGGCATATGTCAGATGAATACAACCCCAAATGAACACCGTCTTTCCATAACGGAAGCAGAGCAAAGCAGAGTATCATAGAAAGCTCTGTGAGGCTCCACATACCTAACCCTGCTCGGAGGTCAAACTTGCACTCAAGAATTTGTATTAAAAAGGCATTTGTTGGTTGTCTGGCTAGATTTTCTAAACCCTTCTCTAACCTGTTGGTCCAAAAGTTGTAGGTTCACTTGGCCAGGCTGGCACAGTGGCTGGTAAAGAAGGCACCGCAGGAGTTAGATGTACCTCTGGAGAAACTAGAAGGGGAGCTGGATTTGACAAAGACACATGTTCTGCTGGCTTCTTCAAGAAAGGGGGTGAGTGGGGGAAGAAAGAAAAAGACAAGAGGTCATTTTGCTTTACACTAATTCTAACCATCTTGAGTTGCCTGCCTTTTATACAAATGAAGTACAAATAGCCCTTATAGTCTTAGAAAAGAAAAACATACAGTAGCTAAAGATAATATGCAAACAAATTTGATCCTAACCAAGGGTTGCCTACCAACGAGGATTGTAATTTTTAATAGAGACAAGGTTTCACCATGTTGCCCAGGCTAGTCTCAAAACCCTTGGGCTCAAGCAATCTGCCTGCCTTGGCGTCCCTAAGTGCTGGAATTACAGGCGTTAGCCACCGTACCTATCTACAAGCAGAGTTAAATACAACACAATACTTTTAAGGCAAGTAAGCAAAATCACTGAAATCTTGAAATTCATGATTATTATAAAAACTCCTCATATAGCTATATGCTTTCTTACCAATATGAAGAATGTTGATTGAAAGGCATTTAACTTTCTCTACTCTTGTATTAGATCAAGAACTAAAATGTCTGCTAGAACACCATTTCTTCATCATGCAATGTGTAAACTGGTATTTTTTTAACGTGTATTTTTCAAACCTTTCAATCAGTACATTCCTTCCCAAATAATTACTAATGATGAAGACAGCTCTTTTAAGTTTTGAAATAAAGGAGAAATTCATAGTTTCCCTTCAAAAATCTTACTTTCAAGCAAATCCACCAAAGTAATACAAAGTGTCAAATACAATAACAAATATATTCAAAATCAATTCAAAAGAATGCACTCAATGTGCAGAAAATGATGGTTATTTTTATAACATTCCATAAATTTCGAGAACATTCTAGACTAACATCAGAATAAATTTAAAAATCATAACCACACCCAAACTGTGATGCTAGAAAAAATTCTCCCATTTCCCATATCAGAATCTTTTCTATTTTTAAATGATCCTATATAGAGAGCAAAGAAACCCAGACAGTGGAGCATTCAATGTTAAATACAACAATGTACTTACTTGTTCTGCAGGAGAAGGGCACTCTAACTTCTTTGACTTTGATGGTGATGAAACTGCTGCATATTTATCATCGGTGATATTCTTTTGAAGCCAAAAAGAAGCAAAGTTTTAGCAAAGAAGCAGAGACCCACATTCTGGAATAACTGATGGCTTCCTTTTATAATTCACCCTATCTACATCTGACAGAACCCTCTCACCACTGAGTATTTCTTCCAATTGTAACTTATTTTCAACAGGTAGGCTAACTTTGCCTGCACATCTTTATTACATCAAACTACTGGGCAATTTTCACTGGCGGTAAGGATTCAAACAGTATGCTCTTGTCCTTTAAAAATATCACTCTAGAGAGAATAAAAGCTACTTTCTTTTTTTTTTTTTTTTTGAGATGGAGTTTAGCTCTTGTTGCCCAGGCTGGAGTGAAATGGCACAATCGGCTCACCGCAACCTCCACCTCCCGAGTTCAAGTGATTCTCCTGCCTCAGCCTCCTGGTAGCTGAGATTACAAGCATGCGCAAGTATGCCCAGCTACTTTTGTATTTTTAGTAGAGACAGGGTTTCTCTATGTTGATGAGGCTGGTCTCGAACTTCCTGACCTCAGGTGATCCGCCCACCTCGGCCTCCCAAAGTGCTGGGATTACAGGTGTGAGCCACTGTGCCTGGCTAAAAGCTACTTTCTAACAATTCTGGCAGGGCACCCTAATGTACCTTGAAGAAATTGTTAGGCCAGGCATGGTGACTCACACCTATAATCCCAGCACTTCGGGAGGCTGAGACGGGCAGATCACAAGGTCAGGAGATTGAGACCAGCCTGGCCAATATGGTGAAACTCTGTCTCTACTAAAAATACAAAAACTAGGTGTGCATGCCTGTAATACCAGCTATTTGGGAGGCTGAGGCAGGAGAATCACTTGAACCAGGGAGTCAGAGGTTGCAGTGAGCCAAGATCGCACCACTGCACTCCAGCCTAGCAATGGAGTGAGAGTTTGTCTCAAAAAAAGAAATTGTTGTACTTGTGAGTGACTTCTCAATCCCCATCGTCTTTTCCCTGCTTTTCTACGTTTCTAATACAGAGCTATAAAATTTTGAATTACCTTCTTCCACTTCTTCCTACTACACTATCACAGTATGAAGAAAAAAGAAAAGATGCAAGTAGTGTTTAAAACTTTTACCTCCAATGTGCTTGGTTCGGGTTTTTTATCCAAGTGGCTATGTCCATGAATGGAGTCTGTAGCAGATCAAGATAAAAAAAGACATCATGGTTTATTATTCTGATTGATGTCTGAGTACAGAAAAACAAAATACAAAGATAGAAGAAAACAAAAGTACTATTTGAACCATGTTTAGTCACTGAACACGTAGTTTTCAGAATAACATTTAACATGCATTAGCTTAAGTCAACGCTTCTCTACCACATTCAAAATATGTGACATTAGATAACTACTTTAACAACTTAAAAAGTGGTTTTTTCCAAATATATTACATTAAGCCAGTCATCTAAAGAGATCTCTAGCATCTGCTTTCGAATGATGAGATAATTTACCTTTGTCTTTTCGTTCTTCTGTATCCATTCTCCGCCTGCTTCCTTTTCTATCACTTACATGTGATGATTTTCTCTGTACACACTGATTGCTACTCTGAGAAGCTGACTGACTGACTGATGAGCTCTTTAAAATGAACAAAACGCAACATTTTGTGTTAAAGATTGACCCACAAATATATGAACGTATCCTGTAATTAATCTTACTCTTCACACTTCTAAAAAGTCTCAAAATTCACAGCCCTATATTTTTGAACTGAAACTATAGAAGATGGAATGTAGGGTCCATAATTAAATGATACACTCTAGATTAACAGTCTTATCACTAAGTCAAAAGGATTAAGCAATCAGATTTCAGCCTAGATTAGTAGACTTAATCTTCATATCCCTATTTCAGGAAGCCACCATGACCTAACTTTTATCCTGCAACTTTTCTTTACAAAAACACCACCATCTTGTGTGCAAACTTTCCAAAAATGCCATTGTAGAGCCATATTTGTCTGGTGGGGAGTTGGGAAGAACCTAAGGACAAATTAGCAGATACAGTGCACTAGGATTCTTATCACTGAAATGCTTACTGACTGTTAGCAAATCACTTAAACTCTGCATTAGATTAGGGACTGAAATAAGTCAGGTTGTTAAGCTAAATTATCACTGAAGGTTCTAGGTTCCTGTTTTAGCGTTCTGAATAAATGTTCCACACACTAAGAGGAGGATCTCAGCCTTCTGTAGCAGGAGTTTTCTAAAAAACAAATCTGAGTCATTATCAAAAGCAATCTGTACCAAACTCCTTAGTCTAAAAACTATGAGTATGCAAGACCCCATTCTTAACAAGAGAGAAATTTCACAATCTGTCCCCACATTACAGTTGTACTTTTACAATTCACTAACTGAAAAATGCAAAAAGGTATGAATACAAGCTTAAGCAATTTGTATTTATTTATATAATAACACATATGACATGAGAGATAAATGTAACTTAGCACATAAACGATGCTTATTTACATATAAATTTGGGCACTTCCAATTATTCCTAAACAGATTCAGGTACTTCTTCCAATAATTCCTAAACTTCAACGCCTGTGCCAGATTAAACTGCAATTCCAGATCAGTTGTTTTCAACTGAGCTCCTTCTAAAACCTCTAAAGAAGTCCACAGAGACCAGAAGACAGACTGAGTGTGTGGGGCTTTAATGTTTTACAGCAGTATACTGGGTAGCCTCCTATAACACTCCATTGTTTATTTAATCTACTCTTAAGAGAAAAAGTGTCCAACCACCATTCTGGATCATAGGTCATTTGGGTACAACTTACCAAGACGTAAAAGATCACAGGCACAGGCTCCCAGACCTGAGAATGAATTAGGTACCCCCTCCTCTGTGCTGCCAGCAAACCCACCTCACAGAGCATACACTTCATTCTACATGACAAGTTTTCTTTTCTGACTTCCCAAAAAGAGTTAAGAAACCTGAAGGTAGAGAACACTTCTTTGATCATAGAAGCATCCACCACAGCCCAGTGCCTGACACACGGAGAAAGGACAAAGCCACAGGATGACATGTGCTACCACCTCCAACAGCAAACACCCTGAAAGACAGTTCTCAAAAGGGCTCCCTAATATTATATCTGTATCTTGTAATGGATTAACTAAATCGTGAACCTCTACTACCTAGTACTTTTGCTAACAAATTAGGTTCTAGTTCAAAAGAAAATACTAAACACTACAAGTGAACAAACCGGTTTACTTGCCTCAACTGTGTTACCAACTTTTTAGTAATATCTCTAGACCACCTACTCCTTAAGAAAAATGTGAAAAGGAAAAATATGAAAAATGTGAAAAAATGTGATCTTTAAAGTATGTTTCAGTATAAAAATTATTAGTTTACCATTGAGAACTATGGTTTAATATAAAAATATCTTAAGAGAAACTTCTATAGAGTAACTTTTAAAATGTCTTTTCATACATACGGAAAGGGCTGGGAAAGCCTGTTCATCTCTGTTCTGAATCTCATAGAGTAAACGAGATTCTTCTATAGCTTGCTTCTCTCTGCGCTCTTCTGGGGAAAGGCCGAAATAGTTAGATTCTCGACTTGCGTGATCAAAATCTTCAACTCTTTCACGATCAAGTTTTCTGTCAAATAAAACATTCTTGTCAGATTAAAAAAAAAAAAAAAAAAAGACACACTGTACTGAGTACCTAAAATAAAATGATCTATTTTGCAATACAAACATTTTACTAATTTAGCTACATTGACATTTTAGAACTTTTGGCAGCCTGGTTAATAAATGTTGAGCAAATGGAAGCTCCTGTAACATTAGCCTACCTTACAGAGAGTCAAGAAGACAAACTTAACAATGGGAGGTAGAAGGGGAAAGAAAAAAAACATTTCCAAATGACAGAAAAACGAGTGAGGTTTTTTCCTTTTCATCAGGAAGAAATGTAAGCACTATATATACTTGTTATACCATATTCCAATATTTTCATTAAGAATTCTCAAAACAAAGGGAAAGTTATTAGTTTAGGTCTCAAAAGCATTCTCATTTTCTGTTCTAAGTAAAGGGGAATGGTCCAATGACCATTTTAGAACTGACACTTTAGAACTGACATTTTAGTTCAGTGGACCATCTTCCCACTTGTTTATGACACCACCAAGGGAGACAGCGAGCCGAGAAAGAAAAACTAAAACATGTCAGGCCTGGATGCCAATTGTATAGATAAGACTGCTGTCATTTCAACAAATTTTGGCCAACTAAGGATGACAAGAAATTCATGAATAGAGTTTAGTGCCCTATAATGCAACCCTAATGTATGATATGGGTTATAATTATTAAAGGCAGTATGAATACTATTTCAATCATGTCTAACAATTCTTCGAAAGTGGAAAATGAAAATCTAAAACCTCTAAGAAAAATACTTTGTCACAGTACAAAGAAATATATATTATCCTCCTCAACAGAATAGAGCACTATGATATCATCTGATTTTTTTGCCTCTGAAATAAGTAATAGCCATAACGGCCATTTCATGTCCTTACATAGTCCCACTTATTAATCACACTCTAATTACAATAGAACAGATGTCAACCCCAATGGTATTGATGAAAACAGGTGGGGTAGCAAATCTGGACTCTCAAAAATTTTAGACCAATCCTTCCCAAATCCTAGCGGTAAAAAATTTTGAAGAGAACTCAGCAACTGTCAAGAGTCTCTGGAAAATTAGCACTACCTTACCACTATCTCCTATGACCCAAAAAAAAATGACCACTACTATATGGCCTTCATCTCATCCTCACCTACCACACAGAGAGAAGCTACTACTTTCCATTTTCATCTAGCTTGAAGACAGATATTCAGTTACAGTATTTCCTAGATACCCACATTAATGAAAGCATATATGGCAATCTTGCTTGATCTTTTTGTTATATTTGTGTTTCTTCCAAAGGAAGAGACAATATCAAGAGGAAAACAATGGAAAAAGTAAGAGGCCATGAAAATCTCATATCCAGCACTACAGTTCTCTTTTGCTCTATAACTGGAAGAAATTCAAAAGTGATGTGGTAAAGATTAGAAACAGAGTGAAGATGAACTCTACTGGGCTTAAATCAATTGGATTATTAGCTATAAAATCCTAAAACGACTAGGTTTTTTAATGATGTTAAATATTCAGCAAAATTTTTAAATCTGTTTTAATACATTAGTAAAATTTATTCTCACACACAGAGTGGAGAAGGCATACTAAACTCATGACAAACTGCAAATACCACTATGTTCTAATGTAATTAGACACAATGTCAAAAATACCTCAAGTTTCATGTCTATGTATTACTTACCACTGCCTTGTCACATACCATCACATGTTTTTATATAGCAAGTAACGAATATAAGCTAACAGAGAAAAAAGGATCTTAGTAAGATATGCTTCTCTATAACACAGTATTAAAAATACTGTTGATTAAAAGTATTACTGGTACGAGATATCTGTTTGAGCACTGCACCAGTTCATAGGCGATTAGAACACCGGAAACAATGGATTATACATTCAGTTTATGATAAACAAGTTTATTTAAATTCATTTTATAGTATTTTCTTTTATAATCTTTAAATCATTAAGAGTACCCTTGTGTTCAAGGAAAAAGAATGTTGCTTTTCTATCGAAAAATAAGAATGTTATTAAACAATTAATTTCAGCCTATGACCTTCCTATAGTTACTTCATGTTTTTAGGTTTCCAAAGCTAGCATTCAAGATAAGTTAATATCTTAGATACTTTTCGTGCATTGAGTAAGCTACCACCAGAGGCTACTGGAGTTTGGTCAATGTCCAAACAACAAACTAGTTGATTAGTGGCATAAATTCTGTTTGGGAGAGGTAATGTAACAGGTTAGAATCATTACTATTTGTTATGAATTCAACTATATTTCTCAAAAAGATGTGTTCATGTTCCTAATCTCTAGTACCTGTGCACATGACCTTATTTAGAAACGGGGTCTTCTCAGATGTAATCAAGTTAAGATGAGGTCATAATGAATAGGGTAGGACTTAAACCCAGTATGACTAATGTCCTTATGAGAAGAGACAGACACAGACACATGGGGAGAACACCATATGATGATGGAGGCAGAGAATGGAGGGATGCACCTACAAGCCAAAGAACTTCAAGAACTGCAGTCAACTCCCGAAGCAGGAGATAAGCATGGAACAGATTCTCCCCTAGAGCCTTCAGGGAGAACATGGCCCTTGCAACAACTTGATTTCAGACTTCTAGCATCCAGAAGTGTGAAAAAATAAATTTCTGTTGTTTTAAGCTAACCAGTTTGTGGTACTTCGTTACAACAGCCCCAAGAAACTAATATTGATAAATGTCAGCTTAAGAACCTACAATTCTGTCTTGAAGATGCTACATAAAACGTCTTTTTTTCTTTCTTTTTAAGACTAGCCAACTACAGTATTGAGAAGGGGTGACAGAGCAGAACCAAGAGTTTGATCTGTAACTGACTGTGATCAATCAACCGAGATAACTCACAACCTTCACACCAGCCTATACATCTTTAGTGACAAAACGTTAAGTGTATTCACAAGAAAGGGAACATCCAAATGCCAGAAATAAAGAACTAAAGACCAGAGGGTTAGCAAGCACATAAGCCGATGCTACAGCTCTTCAGGCAATTGAATGTACTTGAATGGGAAAGATACTGGTCAGAGTCACCTATGAAGACTCCATTGGAAACAAGGCCACGTTTGCATGATGAAGACAGTTTTAACATAAGACACGGCGCCTCGCAAATAAAGCTCTTCCTAAGGGCTATAAAATTACTCAACAGAAAGGGTAGACTAAAGAAAAATTAAAACCCACATAGCAGAGGAAAATTATGAACCTAAAAGTTCATCTGTCTCTGGATATTTAGTCAGAATGCTGATATTCATAATTTCAGACCTAAAACTGTAGCCCCCATTCAGTATTAAGAGACATTACCACAATCGAAACTTATCAGAACAAAGTAAAACAACAATTTGGGCTGCTTTAAGTTCTTGTACAAATGTAAGTATCCTCGCCTCCCAAGGAATTGAGAATGCAATCTGGAATCCAGTATTTACCATATTACAAGCCACCAGTAAATAATTAAGTATCAGAATAGGATTGGGCTAGAATAAGATCTCCTAAACCATCTGAAAAAATTACTAAAAAATAAAGGTCTCGCTATATATATTTCCTGGGTTTGTTCTAAGAGAATTATAAAGAATTGAGATCCTCACATGATGTTTATCCAAAATGCTTTTAATACTAATCTAGGGACAAATATATGAATAAAAAGTTAAAATTATTTAAATGCACATGATGTGACAAATACAACAAATGCCTCTTACTTATTTCTATACTTCTCTTGCATTCAAGAAGGTTACCTTATGATCTGTGAGGGTGTCCGGCTAAGATTTTTGTGCTCACTGGAGAATTTCTGAGACTGTGACCCTGAAGAATGACTAGAGAATGCATGTTGTCTTACTCCTGAAGGATGCTGCAGTCGAGGAGGTAGTGCTGATGGGGCTTTTATTGGCTTGCTTGGATTCTTTGGCCCTCTGTAGTCCATATCTGTGATAAGAACCCAAACGCACGTCATAATATTCACAATTCTGTATTATGAACAACCCCAAGTACCATCATCCCAATCCCAAAGGAATGATAGCTTGATGTGCTCCTACCAGAATGGAAATTTTGTCCAGAAGTAGAAGGTTTTTTCATCTTCTTCCCTGACACCGTGTTCCAGCTTTCTGGGGGAGGTGCTTTGAGGTTCTTTGATGTGTGCCTTCAAAGAGGGAAAACTTGTGATAGCTTAAAATACCTTAGTAAGAATACTTAAATATTCTGCATTTTTATTTTCAGCCTATATAACAATTTCCAGTTTTATTTCTTATATTAAAAACAAATTAGAATTTAAGTACAAACAGCATTTAGCAATCCAGATGCAATTCTAATCAAATAAAATGATATAAATCAAAAGCCTATTTTCTAATTTTAAAAAAAGAGGCCTAAATCACAATTTAAGCAAAAGTTAAATAAATACGCGATGACTTATTCTGTTAGATATAATAATGGTACTGTAGTTAAGGCAGGAAAAGAAGTCTTTATACTGTCAGAGGCGCATATAAACATCTACTGGAGAAATGTGGTGTGATGTTTGAATCGCCTTCGAAATATGCCAATTTCATTTAATTTTTTTAAAAAGTATTAGGGAAAATAGACTAGAAAATATTGCCAAATGCTTGAGTTGCTAAAAATGGGTGCTGAATTATATTGAGATTAAAAAATTGCAGTGTTGGTTATATTGGGGTTCTTTTTCTTCTTTTTTTTTTTTTTTTTAGACGGAGTCTTTCTTTGTTTCCCATGTTGTTGTGTAATGGCGTGATGTCGGTTCACTGCAACCTCCACCTCCCAGGTTCATGCAATTCTTCTGCCTCAGCCTCCCAAGTAGCTGGGACTAGAGGCGCATGCTGCCATGTCCAGCTAATTTTTTGTATTTTAATAGAGACAGGGTTTCACCATGTTGCCCAGGCTGGTTGCGAACTCCTGAGCTCAAACAATCTGCCTGCCTCAGCCTCCCAAAGTGCTAGGATTACAGGCATGGGCAACTGCGCCCAGACTGGGATTCTATTCTTAATTTGTGTAGGTTTAAATTTTTCCAGTAAAGTTTAAGGTGTGACTTACTACCTTTTTCTCTAATAAAGGCCAGCAGCAACTGAAACAAAGGTGCTCTATAACATAAGTCAACAATACTTCACTACTCCATCTGACAAACACTGACTGAATACTAACTACATGCAATGCAGTACTGAATGAATTTTAAATGAGTCCCTCCAAAGCTCCCATATTTGAACTACCTTTGTGCACAATGGCACATTTTAAACAGTAAGTAACAAAACAATCTTCATTTAATGTCTGACAATGTGCAAAATCCTAATTTGCACATTTGGTACTTTTTTAGAAGTCAGAACAAATATACTTTTATTTATTGATTTTTGAAAGAGTCTAGCTCTGTTGCCAGGCTGGAGTGCAGTGGCTCACTGCAACCTCCACCTCCCAGGTTCAAGCCTGTCTCAGCCTCCCTAGTAGCTGGGTTTATAGGCATGCACTGCCACACCTAGCTAATTTTTGTATTTTTAGTAGAGACACCGGGTTTCACCATGTTGGCCAGGATGGTCTCAATCTTCTGACTTTGTGATCCACCCACCTCAACCTCCCAAAGTGCTGGGATTGCAGGCATCAGCCACCATACCTGGCCCAAATATATTTTCTATACATGGGCAATATCTTTCATTAAATTTGCAAATACAGAGGGTCATTTTAAAATGCTCATGATTAGGCTAAATGGACGAAGCAGTAAATGTCTTTTTTTTCTTCTTTTTTTTTTTATTTTATTTCTTTTTTAATTAGAGACAGAGTTTCACTATGCTGGCCAGGCTGGTCTTGAACTCCTGACCTTGTGATCCACCTGCCTCGACCTCCCAAAGTGCTGGGATTACATGCGTGAGCCACCACGCCTGGCCAAGAAGCAGTAAATGTCTTAGCTGAAAATTAGTACATACTTCTTTCCCAGTTCTTCAACCAAAACTGGTCCATTCTCAGAATGAACTCCTTGAGCGTCTGCATTCAAAAATTTTCCATTGTGATCCAACCTAACCTGTTAAAAATTCCAGAAGTGAAAAAAAAAAAAAAAAAAATCAGTCATCTGCTTCCTTTGCATTAATCTTCAGTTTTTAGCTTTTTGGGGTTTTTGCTTTGTTTTGAGACAAGGTCTTGCTCTGTCACCCAGGCTGGAGTGCAGTGGCACAATCTCGGCTCACTGCAACCTCCACCTCCCTGGTTCAAGCCTGGGATTATCCTGCCTCAGCCTCCCTAGTAGCTGGGATTACAGGCATGTACCACCACCCTCAGCTAAGGTGGGGTATTTTTTTTGTATTTTTAGCAGAGACATGGTTTCACCATGTTGGCCAGGCTGGTCTCGAACTCCTGACCTCAAGTGAACTGCCTGCCTCGACTTCCGAAAGTGCTGGGATTAGAGGCATAAGCCACCTCGCCCAGCCAGTATTTTTAAAATTTAGTCTTTAATTAAACAGAAAATAAAGTTTATCGGTAAAAACAAAGTATAAGTTCAAAAAGATCTACAGTAAAATCCATCTCCTTAACCTCTCAGACCTCCCTATCTACTACCTAAAGGAAAAAAAAAACTTTCCTTCTCTGTCCTTCTAAATTTTTTTCTAAACTAATTTTCTAAATTATTCAAAAAGTAGGAGCACAGTATGTTAAGGCTCTAAACAAAAGAGGCAACATGTCCTGGTTCTGAAGGCAGGGCTGTGGTCCCACACACCCCAGGCTTCCAGGCCTGGCTTTTCCACTTACCGGCAATATGACCTCGGGCAAGTTATTTTTCTCTCCCTTCAGTTTCCTCATAATGCAAAATGGAGCTAATAATAGTACCTACATCACAGAACTCATGGAGATGGAATGAGAGTGCACAGGATACACATAAAGGATACCAACTTGCACACAGCAACACTCTACAAATGAGAGCAACTATTATTATCTTCCCATTTTTCCTATATTAAAAATGTGCAACTGTGATCTTTTTTTATCCCTAAAAATATATGCATTAACTGTTCTCTACCATACAATTAGTATTACCCAACGGTAAATCCATGATAAAAGAGTAATAAGCCTAAGGTTTCTTCCTATCAGTAATCTGCCCACATTGAATTGTGCACCTGCCAAGTACGGCACACAGGACAATGCTTTAAGCAATCTCCCACTTTTAGTAGTAAATCAAAGTTTTCAATCTGGTATTTCATTCTTCATCAGTCCAATAAACATTTTTCCTCCAAAAGTTTCACAATAAAAAATTTTTTCTGAACTTAGTTTTTAATCAAAAGTTTAAACTACACTTAACTTCAGTAAACAAAAGTCACCTTAGAGTCAGTCACCTCAGTTTCTTAAAATTTTAATGAAATGTTATCCAAATAAAATGGTCAAGTAGTAGAGATGGAAATAAAATACTCTAAAAAGGAAAAAAAAAGTATGTGCTTTACTATCTACTTTATCAAAACACCTACTTTACCAAAAGCAATTTCAACCTCAAAGGAAATATGCTTGATTTAAAATAAATAACACAACTTTAGTGATACAGCATAAGCCATATTCTCTTCTCTGTTGAGAAGGGTAGGGAGAGAGGCCTTTAAACCCTGGATTTAATCTCCTTTGTTCTCTTTCAAGTTTTCCCAATCAATGTGGTAAAAGTTTCCGCAATTCCCTTCTACAATTAGAGCAGACAATCCTGTAACACAGTACCTGATTGAATCATGTTCTCTTCTTCCTCACCTTTAAATACCCAGAATCAAAACTATTAAAGGTTCTGAAGATAAAGTCCACAGTTGATGTCTCAGATAAAATCCTGGCTAATCATAATATTATTATAATACCATATTATGTGATAAATTGGTTTATGATTTCACATAAACCAATTTATCACATAATATGGTATTATAATAATAATATGATTTAAAGTAAATGAGCGTTTCCTCCATAAGTCAAGAAGAAATGTTTGCCAATGACTGTTTTAGTTTTTTTTAAAGGCAAGACTTTTTGATGAAAATAATTTCTGATGAGAACTTCCACATTAACATCATCTGTGTATGTGGAGGTTTTGTTTTTGAAATAGCAATATTTTTCCATAAACAAAGAAGAAAAAAAAAACAAGAAAAGAGACCCTGCAAATTATCTTACCTAGGGTTTCTTCTGCCTAAGCATTACTGACACTTTGGACTAGGTATTCTTTGTTAGAAGGAGATGAGGGAGGCTGTCCTGTACATTGTAGAATGTTTGGCCACAGGTTTGGCCTCTACCCACTAGATGTCAGTAGCACCCTCCCAGTTGTGACAATAAAAAATGTCTCCAGACAATGCTGAATGGCTGGGGGTAGGTGGGGTGATGGTTAACTAACAAATTAAGAAACAACTGATTTTTTTCTTTTTTTTTTTTGAGACAGAGTTTCACTCTTGTTACCCAGGCTGGAGTGCAATGGCGCGATCTCGGCTCACCGCAACCTCCGCCTCCTGGGTTCAGGCAATTCTCCTGCCTCAACCTCCTGAGTAGCTGGGATTACAGGCACGCGCCACCATGCCCAGCTAATGTTTTGTATTTTTAGTAGAGACAGGGTTTCACCATGTTGACCAGGATGGTCTCGATCTCTTGACCTCGTGATCCACCTGCCTTGGTCTCCCAAAGTACTGGGATTACAGGCTTGAACCACCGCGCCTGGCAGAAACAACTGATTTTAATCCAACTTTTTCCTTTAACAATCAGTTACTCAAATCCAGGGCAGCTGCTCATCCAAATGAATTGGCAAAAACTCCTCTGTGGTTCACTTTCCTTCCTCAGTCCAACAGTAAACATCATGTATGTATCGCAATCTCCCAACATGATTTTCATAAACAAAACTAAGTGACCTATAAAGTCAATTTTCAATCAATTTCAGTCTATTTGAACAAAAATACCTAAATGTCTGAAATATTATTACTTCTTTGAACCAAGTAATACCAAAGATCATGTGATGGATGCCACAGTTTTGGATACATACAATTTTGGCAATGTATTCAAATGAATCAAAAAGCTGAATGCTTGTAAACTATGAAAATGTACATACATGATAAATATATTCTGAAATCCCAAATTAACAACACATTCACACCTCAGCTGTCTTCTTGGTTCCTATTAGAAAAAATAAGGTTTCAAGTAAAATCTCTTCTTTTACACAAGTCACTTACTTGACATTTGTCTCCAACTTCATATTGTAAGCCAGCAGCAATGGAATAATCACGTTTCTGCTGAGCTGGTTAAAAAAAAAAAAAAAATTCAGTATAACATAAAGTTGACTTATTTTTAAGTGCTACAAAGCAAATTTATGGAAAATGCAGATTTTTAACTCACCTTGTTTAGACTTCAGCCAAATTTCATATTCTACATTTCTATAGACTGCAGGATCGAGTGACTTAAGAACCTTTCTAGACAAAGGCAGGCTAGTAGAGTTCCCATTGTTCTTCAGCTGCTAAACAAAGTCAGGAAGTCCAATCAACACATAAGTGCTTTTAAAACATTTTTGTCTAAAATACATGCAAGAGTAAAGCCAAATGAATAAAAGAAACTTGAAAAAATTAGGAAGTCACCAAATAAATTTATTAGTAGATGATTCTAACTTGACTGAAATGTATCAGAAAAAAGAAAAAACTTAAAACTTTAAATTTACATGTTTAAAGAACTAGTTAAAACACTTTAAAAAAAAAAATACCTCATCCCCTGACAAAGGTTTAAATCCATTCACATCAGCAGCAGCAGTTTTACTCCTATAAAGAAAGATAACCATAATTAGGAGCAGAAAAAGATATTTGCATATAATTACCTTCTAACCTCATCTAAAAGTCTTCAAAGTCAGAACTATGCTCCAAAATGTCAGAACTATATTCCAGTGAGCTCATACAAGTTTTAGTATAAATGTATCTATATATAAAAGGGTATATGTAAGTAAATATGCGTATGTAAGATAGATGTCAAAGATATCAGTAATTCTAACTGGCTCAGTAATCAATAAGAAAACAAAAATAAACTGAAATATGGGTGGGTAGAATAATTGAATTTACAAAGCAATGTAAAAACATCCTTTCAATATACACCTGAGGCCCCATTAAAAAAAAAAATATAGGGCGGGGCGCGGTGGCTCAAGCCTGTAATCCCCAGCACTTTGGGAGGCCGAGGCGGGTGGATCACGAGGTCAAGAGATCGAGACCATCCTGGTCAACATGGTGAAACCCCGTCTCTACTAAAAATACAAAAAATTAGCTGGGCATGGTGGCGCGTGCCTGTAATCCCAGCTGCTGGGGAGGCTGAGGCAGGAGAATTGCCTGAACCCAGGAGGCGGAGGTTGCAGTGAGCCGAGATCGCGCCATTGCACTCCAGTGTGGGTAACAAGAGCGAAACTCCGTCTCAAAAAAAAAAAAAAATATTTACAACAAAAGTATCTATTGGCAGATTTGACAACACTTTTATTAAAAATACTCTACATAAATAATATTCAGCACAATGAAAGCACCATCATCAGCCCTCTGAATTCACTGCCGCATACATATCTACACATTCATATACTCAGTAAGTACTTGGGCATCTACTATGTGCCATGCACTATACACAGCTGGCCTTTGAACGACAAGTTTGAACTGTGTAGGTCCACTCACACATTTTTTTCAACGAAAAGCAGTTTGAAAATACAGTATTCTCAGGATCTGACACCCAAGTATAAAGAGGGCCAACTTTTTATATAAACAGGTTCACAGGACCCACTGCAGGACTTGAATATGCACAGATTGTGGTATACTCAAGAGTCCCAAATCCCCTGGCATATACCAAGGGATGACTGTAGTATTAGGTACGAGGGTCTAGCATTTAAGAGAACAAAAACTCTGCCCACATGAAATGTACAATCTGGTGACAACAGATTAAAAACTACACAAGTAATTAGTATGTTAAATGCTGATAAACACATTGAGGAGAAAAAAAAAGTAGGGGGGAAAAAATGAGTGTTGAGATGTAGGCTGATAACAGTTTAACTCTGTGTCCCCACCCAAAATCTCATCTTGCATTGTAATACTTCCCACATGTCAAGGACAAGACAAGGTGGAGATAACTGAATCTTGGTGGTGGTTCCCCCATGCTATTCTCGTGATAGTGAGTTCTCACAAGATCTGATGGTTTTATAAGAAAGAGGCCACAGTAGTTCACGCCTATAACCCCAGCATTTTGGGATGCTAAGGCGGGTGGATCACATAAGGTCAGGAGTTCAAGACCAGCCTGACCAACATGGTGAAACCCCATCTCCATTAAAAATACAAACTTAGACAGGCATGGTGGTGCACACCCGTAATCCCAGCTACTTGGGAGGCTGAGGTAGGAGAATTGCTTGAATCAGAGAGGTGGAGTTGCAGTGAGGCGAGATGGTGCCATTGCACTCCAGCCTGGGAAACAAAAGCAAAACTCCATCTCAAAAAAAAAAAAAAGCAAGAGGCTTACCCCTTTGCTGGCACTCATTCTGTCTCCTGCTGCCCTGTGAAGAGATGCCTTCTGCCATGGTTCTAAGTTTCTTGAGGCCTCCTCAGCCATGCGGAGCTATGAATCAATTAAACCTCTTTCCTTTATAAATTACCGAGTCATAGCTATTTATTCATAGAAGCATGAGAAGGAACACATAGCCTCAAATAAAAAAAACAGAATAAGGAAAGGCCTTCCTGAGATGTCTTTTTGAATAAAGAAGGGTGGTGAGAAAGTAAGCCATATGACTCTTAGTATTCCAGGCAGAAAATAGCACATGCAAAGATCCTGAGGTGGACAAAGGGCTACTAAGGCTGGAACAGAGTGATGACAGGGCAAAGGGAGAAGGGGTGAGATAGTCTCCGACTTGGACCCACATGTACTCTTCTGTCCTACAAATCCTCCTTACTGAATCAATTTCTAGTTTTCAGTCCCTAGGTCTATACCCTTAAATGCAGCAATATTTAAGAGACCCTCAGTGAAAAGAATAACAGGCACAAGAATATAAATACATCCTTGGTCTTCCCTCCTTATTACTACACTATGCCTATCTACCTTGTCATGGTTATATAGCATTTTTCTTCCCTAATTGAAGCCCTGTGCTGTCTAAGTCAGAAATGACCAAGTAAAAAGAAATTTTAAGGCCAGGTACAGTGGCTCACACCTGTAATCCCAGCACTGTGGGAGGGCGAAGCAGGCAGATCACCTGAGGTTGGGAGTTCATGACCAGCCTGACCAACAGGTAGAAACCCCATCTCTACTAAAAATACAAAATCAGCTGGGCATGGTGGCGCAGGCCTGTAATCCCAGCTACTGGGGAAGCTGAGGCAGGAGAATCGCTTGAACCCAGGAGGTGTAGGTTATAGTGAGTCAAGATCACACCACTGCACTCCAGCATGGACAACAAGAATGAAACTCGGTCTCAAAAAAAAAATAAAAAATTTAATAATGCAATGAAAAGGTAACCCACATTCCAAGAACAATAATAGTACAGTAGAAAAAGAAAAACTAAACACAATAGTGAGCACATCTTCTTATACCCATTGTACCTTCTCTGGTAGACTTCTCCAGCTTATTAGCCCCTACTCTATACTTCATCTGCCAACTGCCATACAAGACCCAGTTGTTTCTAATACCATTGACACCCACAGCAACTTCTGTGCTAGAAGTTCCCCAATCCCAATCGCAGGTAATAAATTGTAACAAACTAGTCATTCTCTCTTCCAGTGTCCCCCATGCTCAATGACACAGTGCTTAATGAAAACCATAGAGCAAAATTTCTATCTATGCAAAGTTAGTCTATCCCAGAATTAAATTCACAATGGCAGACACTGATTCAAGTTAGAAAGAAATGGTGGCCAAATTTTCAATCAGGATCAGTAAAAACCTGGAATTACAAATCAAGAAATATATATATATATATAAATTATTTTTATAATAAAGAATTAGATATCCTAAGGCTTAAGTTCCATTTCTATCTCTACTGTCACAGAGTATAACATACCAAGTACGATCCTTTCATACTCTCTTACAAGAATATACATTTTTAGCTTCAAAAAGAATATAATAGGGTTGGTTCTTATAAATAACAGAGTAAACATCTTAACTGATAACTAATATACTGGATACCATATCTAGGACGTAGGCTATGTACTTTATATGCTATCTCAGATTTAATTTCATGAATTGTCCCTTTTGAGGAAATACTGACTATATTCTAATTTTAGAGTACTGGAATTGAGGCTTCTTAGAGAATTTAAGTAACTTGCCCCAAGTCAAGTCAAATTAGCAAGAAGCCATGACTGAAACCAGAGCCCAACCTCTTAAACACTACCTTATACGTCTGTGTGAAAAAGAAAGCTAAGCCTCAGAGACTCGACATTCAAATGTATTTACTCACAACCTACATAGAGGCATCACACAGAGGTGTTCACATATTCAAAGCCCCATTTTGGAACTTTCATTATCTAAAAAGAGGCACTACATAAGGACAAAAACAATAAAAGAAAGTGAAGAAAATCAAATTGGCCATTTTATTTCATTGCTGTGTATGTGAACAATTAACAAGTTAACTTACTTCAAAATTTTACAATACACATACATATAGGTAGGACCAAACTATTCTACAAATACACGTCTAGACTGCACAGGTGTAGATTCTCATCAACCAAAAACACACCAACTTTCAAAACAAACAGTCCCATAATAGAAATTAGGTAAAATTAGTGGCAGGGATAATGCAAATTCTGCAGATTGCTGTATTTTATGAATACCATTAACACCTCAATATATGTATGCAAAGACATATACTGAAATGTAAGGACATTTACTTAAATGTTTCCTTGTATGGCATTGGAAAGATATTTTAGGATTTCATTCTTACTCGCAACTGTCATCCTCCGAATCTGATATTTCACTGTTGTCTTCATCAGCTACTTCCAATGTATCTAGTCCCATGACAATTTTACTAACATCAGTTTTAAATACCTTCTCATACAGCAATTCATAAAGGAGAGCTGCAATTAATGAGAGACAGATTTTCTAACATTAACTACAAGCAATTTTTTAAAAACAGAAACAGACCATAACCTTTTAACTTTCTATTGCTCAGGCTTTTATAATCCTGACTAGATATCTACAAAATCTTACGGTCAATAACATAATTTAATCAGAAAGTTACCTGGGCTACAACTAAAATTTCTGTAAGTGCAGTTAAGTAGTTTAAAATAATCGCAAAACACAGTGCCATTTTTAAAACTAACACCATCACAAAAAGGTATCACAACTGTGAAACAAGTATGACAATGGGAAAAGCCAAAATACATATACTAAGCAATTATTACTACTACATTCCACATACTTGATGGTAAGCACCTGTATATACCCTCATGTTTAATCCTAGCACAGTGAAGCATTATTCTGATTGTACAGATAAGGAAACTGACACTTAAGAATGTCATACAACACGCCCAATCTAAAGAGACTTAGAGGAAAAACAGTAAGAAGCATTAAGATTGCTAGAAAGAGGAACATAATATAGTGCATACTAGCTGACAAGTCAGAAGACTTGGATGCTAGTCTCAGCTTTCCCACTAATTGTAACCTTGGACAAGCACTTCTCAGATTTCTATAGAAAGGGTGTTTGAGTACATAACCTAGCTCCAGATTTTAATTTTATATAAAGAACTAAAAAAGAAGCTGTTACAAAATATACTCTCAGCAGCCACTGAAAGAAAGGAGCATATTTAGATACTTTGTTGCTTTAAATAAAGTAAAATTTTAAAACCCTATCCAGTCCTGAATATAGGGAAATATATTTTAACAAAAATTCAAAAATACATGGATTTTAGGACTCTCATTTGGTGTTATTACAATGAGCTTTAAGAAAACAAATGTACTGGCCTGGCGCAGTGCTTCATGCCTGTAATCCCAGCACTTTGGGATGCTGAGGCAGGCGGATCACAAGGTCAAGAGATCGAGACCATCCTGGCCAACATGGTGAAACCCTGCCTCTACTAAAAATACAAAAATTAGCTAGGCGTGGTGGCATGTGCCTGTAGTCCCAGGTACTCGGGAGGCTGAGGCAGGAGAATTGCTTGAACCTGGGAGGTGGAGGTTGCAGTGAGCTGAGATCGCGCCACTGCACTCCAGCCTGGCGCCTGGTGACAAAATGAGACTGCCTCCAAAAAAGAAAAAAAAAAAAAAAAACACAAAGAAAACAAATGTATTAAGAATTCATCAACAACGGGGCCAGGTGTGGAGGCTCATGCTTATAATCCCAACACTTTGAACACTTTGGAGGCCAAGGCAGGCAGATCACTTGAGGTTAGGAGTTTAAGACAGGCTGGCCAACATGGTGAAACCCTGTCACTACAATAAAAACACAAAAATTAGCCATTGTGGTGGTGCACACCTGTAATTCCGGCTACTAGGGAGGCTGAGGCAGGAGAATCACTTGAACCCAGAAGCCAGTGGTTGCAGTGAACCAAGATCACGCCACTGCACTCCAGTCTGGGTGACAGAGCGAGACCCTGTCTTAAAAAAACAGCAACAACAACAAAAAAAAACAATGGGTGTCCACCTCTAAATGAGTTCCCACAGAGACCTCCTTCTTACAGACGATCTTTCTTCCAGATTCCAGGAATATGAGTTGCAGTCCTCATATCACCCAAACCATAGGCACTTAAAAGCACAGGAAAGACAAGCTCTAGGAGCTCTCTTCCAAAGCTGAAATGCCCAGATGGTAACGAGCTAGGAGAGGGAGATGAAACAGCCCAAGGTATAGAGGCCAGACTTTCATATCTTACAATGGATTAATTTTTTAAAATAGTGTATTACACGTATCTTTACTGGTTACCACTAGCTTAAGAGCAGAGAAAAAAGCTGTCACTTGCTTTACATGACTGATCTGTGCTGTGTCAGAATGGATGATATAACAGAAACTGGTAGGAAGGGTCACTGCTCTGCTATAGCAGTTAATTCTCAAACAGAATAAGGGCAAGGGGAATTCATACGCCCAGGAAACATTTGGCAAAATCTAGAGATATTTGTGGTTGTCACAATGGGAAAAAGAGTATGTTACTGACATCCACTATGTAGAAACCAAGGATGCTACTTAAATCCTAAAGTTCCAAGAGAGCCCTAAAACAGCATCATCTGGCCCAAAATGTCAATAGTGCCAAGATTCAAAATGCTGCTCTGGAGCCAAATATAATCAAATGTTTATTTGCTCAGTCATTTGGATTTTCAAGCTATACACTAACAGTTTTAAAGATGCATATAAATCTTTATTACTGAAATTATTGTAGCAAAAAAAAGTTGGCATTTACAAGTCAAACTCTAGCCACAAGCTCCCTTTCCTCCAATTTTTCTTTTTTTTTTTTTTTTTTTTNTTTTTGGTTTTGTTTGAGTTTGAGACAAGTTCTCAGTCTGTTGCCCAAAATGGAGTGTAGTGGCACAATCATAGCTCACTGCACCTTGACTTCCAGGGCTCAAGTGATCCCCCACCTCAGCCTCCCAAGTAGTTGGGACCACAGGTCTGCACCACCATGCTCAGCTACCTTTCCTCCTATTGCAACAAGTTTTTATTATAATATTAATATTCTTGTCATTTAATGTTCTTAGATATATCTTTTATATTACAACAGAATAGAATTATTTGTTCTGATTTGTTTCTATTAAGACTGTGTAAGTTTAGGAATATAATTTCCCATATAAACACAAGGTGATACTTACACTGACACATAGCAGAGCTTTCTTTATACTTTATGGGATACACAATATCATAATGATTTCCATTTGAAAAACACAGTAATACCTGAAAATGAAAAAGATGCATTTCAGACCCTCATATATATGACATTTACATAGCTAAGTATGTCTCCAATACCTCTGAATTACTAGATCATTTCCAAACAGAAAGTGAGTATTTTAGGAGTAGCCCAAAGCTCCAATGTTGTCAAGCTACAGTACATCCATACGCCAAAATGTTATAGAAGCATTAAATTTTAAAATTCAAAATGATTTCTGGAAATGTTTATAGGATCACCAAAAAACAAAAACAATATATGAAAACATGCTTTCCACTACTTAAAGAACAAGAAAATTTAAAAACTGTAAGAAAATATTATAAAACCTTAATAATTCTAACCTCTAACAAGCAAAATCAAAGATATTTTTTTGGCTTCTTTACAGTTTTAATTATTTTCTAAATCATCACTTATACAAAGAAAATTGCACACTGATTTTGTTTAGAATATAACATATTTCAAAACTTGTTTTGAAAAAGCCAGATCGCTTAGAAAGTCCCAGAAACCCTAAAACCTTTGTAACAGTAGTATTTCACTCAATTTCCCTCTAATTTATCACCACTAGCATGGTGGCATACAAGTCACTTCCATTTGGCCTTCATGATTCCAAAATAGCTAATTAAGACAAAAATTCTCTTATAATAAGGCTGCTGATATTACTTTCTAGGCTTCACAAAATTTTTCAGTGGCTTCTGCTTTATGACATAATGCAATGACACCCTTGTGAGTAAAATTTATAATAGGAAAATGTATATGATTACTAAAGTATTCCTGGATGTAATAGCAGAACCAAATTATTTTCACAAGTTATTTTACTATTTAATGTTTATACTGACAAAAAACTGTAATAGTCTATTTCATCATATACATTAATATCTCATAATTCTTTTCAGTGTTTCTACTCAAATGTTGTAAAAGGGTTAAATACAGTAATTTGTGGGGACAAAAAAATACAGAATAATATGACTAAGTGATGATTAACAGAAACTGTTAAGAAATCAGAATACCATAACCTTAATACAGAAATGTTTCAAAAAAATCATTTAAAATTATAGCTTATGAAGTCATAGCAGCAATTCAGTGGTTCTTTTACTTAAATACTTTACAACACATTGAAAAATTCTTACCTTTTCAGGAAAATTATTTTCAGTTACTTGTGAAGGAGAAACATTTGGTTCCCGATAAATTATAAAATCTTTCCTGAAAATAATTTAAAATTATTTATAATGGACTATACTTCATGAATTTAAATTTAATCTTTCATTCATTCATCAAGGGCCTATACGTGACAGGCAATGTCCCAACCACTGGAGATACAAAAGACAATAATGAAATAACTAAGTTGTAAAACACCTATACAAAAATAACTTTTCTAACACATAAAATTTCAAATATAATTTGTATATATATATAATTTCAGATATAATTCTAAAAGGAAACTTCAAAATCAAAGAAATTTTGAAGATGAAATTTAAACACTCTGAAAAGAAAAAACAAAGTATTTACCTGCTACTCTACTAGATGGCAAAAAAGTACCAAAATTGAATACACATTGAACATCCCAAATCTAAAACACCAAAATCCAAAATGCTCCATAATCTAAAATTTTTGAGCACCAACATGACACTCAAAGGAAATGCTCATTGGAGCATTTTGGATTTCAGATTTTCAAATCAGGGATGATCAACTGGGTAAGTGTAATGTAACTATTCCAAAATAAAAAAAAAATAAAAATCCCTTTTGGGCGCAGTGGTTCAAGCCTGTAATCCCAGCACTTTGGGAGGCTGAGGCGGGTGGATCACGAGGTCAAAAGATCGAGACCATCCTGGTCAACATGGTGAAACCCCGTCTCTACTAAAAATACAAAACATTAGCTGGGCATGGTGGTGCGTGCCTGTAATCCCAGCTACTCAGGAGGTTGA